ATCAACGGGAGGGATTTGAAAGAGGTTACTTCATTCACTTATCTAGGGAGCATTGTCTCAACTACAGGAGGAGCGGACGAGGATGTCAAATCGAGCGGGAATCGGGAAGGCGAGAAACACATTCATCAACCTGAAATCAATCTGGAAATCTTCGTCACTCAGCATCAACAACAAAATTCGGATTTTGAATACAAACATCAAGTCAGTTCTTTTATACGGATGAGAAACTTGGCGGGTGGGTCACAAAGAATATTTCTAACAGCCTGTTGCAGACCTTTATGAACCAGCAACTGTCTTCGCTCCATACTGAAGATCAGATGGCCGGGCCGGAAAGAATCACCAACAAGGAATTACGGGAACAAACAAAGCAAGGACCAATCGCCCAACAAATATGCAGGAGAAAGTGGAGATGGATCGGACACTCACTGAGGAGACCGCTAGGTGACATCGCGCGTCTAGCCATTGCTCGAGTGGAACCCGAAAGGGAGGCAGCGTGTGGGACGTCCAAGGTTGGGTGACATGGAGGAGACCGTGTGAAGAGGAGTTGAAAGAGTATGGACTAACATGGAAGCAGGCGAAAAGTACAGCAGAAGACAGAAGCAAATGGAGACGTGCAGTTGAAGCCCTATGTTCCACTAGGAACCCAAGGGAGCAACAGCAACATATTAATACTTTCCATGCGCTTAACAGAAATGGCAGTTAACTCTCTACATTAACTTCATCAACTTTGAAAATGTCTTTGATAGGGTTCACTGGGGAGCAATTGGGATACTACTTCAACACCATGGTGTGCAGTGCCCAAATCTTTATCTTTGACCTTGGCGGCCTGTTTGACAAGTGAGCTACCTTTTCCTGCATCTACATATTGCATTTAATAGTCATGTTTCCATTCCTAATTTTAATAAAATATGATTACAAATCGCATAAAATACAGTAATTCATTCATTAAACGTTTCAAACCATATGACTTTCATGCATCTAATAAATCTAAGAGAAAACATCACGCTGGCTGGCAGCGTGCACTTAAACAGACACCTTTATATCGTACAACTATTCCTGTTATTGTCACTTCAAACTGCCGTTCACTTCTCAACAAAATTATGCATCTCCAGTCTCTCTTATTATCTGATACTTATCACAATACGGCGATTGTTGCATTACAAGAAACATGGCTTCATGAACTCTATGATGACAATATGGTTTCCCTAAATGGTTTTACATTGTTTAGACAAGATCGACTATGCTCCAGAAAGAAAAGAGGTGGCGTTGCAACTTTCATTCATTCTCAATGGTCAACTTCAAATAATGTATGTTTTTCTTACTTTAATGACTTTATTGATTGTATAACAGTCAAATGCCGCCCGAAACACTTATCCAAGTTTAAATACGTCTTCATCTCAAACATTTATGTTACTCCTGGCTGTTCTGCCTCGGATCTGTAGCGGTAAATAATTCCCCAAAATTATTGACCACAGCAATCACTCATTGGATGCTGACCACCACTGTTTAAGTCGACTTGTTTAGCTGAAGGCTTCCGGTCAAGCATCCCCGCCATTTGGTACCCCGTCGTGTAACGTGCACGATCACTAGCTAGCTAAGCGTTCGTCTAACGGCTGGTTTTGGTTCCTAAATACATTTCTTCGTTTGGACGACCAATTATTGGCTTTTGCTTTGTCTTTGGTACGCGAGAATAAATTAATTAGAAGTTGTTGAACGAGATATCACGTCAAACCTTTAATATCCGTCAACCTCTAAACTGGTGAGCCCAACCGCGAACTTTATCCACGAAAAATCCGCAGATAACCCCGGTGAGTTCGTTCCATTTTGTATTTGTTCTTGTACCATATATTATTCGACATAATTTTCGTCATGAGTGATCTTAGTCCCAAGGTCATCCGTATCCGCTCAACTCCTAAAACCATTCAGCTCGTACCATACTGGCCAGATAATGCTGAAACGTGGTTTCTGCTAGCTGAAGCAGATTTTTGTGAGCATGGGATAACTGATCAACGTTCACAGTTACTTGCAGTTATTCACGCCCTACCGCGGGAATTCAGCAAGTACGTAACATCACAGATGTTGAGTCCCGAGGTAAGTAACTCGTACGAGTTGCTGAAAGCATCCCTCCTCAGGAGAAACGCTCTCACGGACAGACAACGTCTAGATGAATTATTTCGCAACATCGAGTTAGGAGATCAGTCAGCCGTGAGCATGCTGACAAGAATGAAACAAGTCGTCGGCCAAAGTCAGTTCGACGAAGGACTGTTTAGAGAACTCTTCTTAACCAAGTTGCCACAATCTGTACAGACCGTACTTGTGACACTTGAGGGTACTGTAATAGAGAACTTAGCTATTACTGCAGATAAGATTCTAGAAATAACTAAACGGTCTGTTCCCGAAATATGCTCAATGACTAAGCAGACTTCGAGTAAGGATCCTGCAATGATAGAGTTATGCAACTCCCTTCAGCAGATGTTTAGGTCAAACATGCATTCTAAATCCTCCGACCGTCGTCCTAAATCTCCTCAACGCAGGAACTCGCGTGGTCGATCTAAGTCCAAACCACGTTCACTGAAAAACCCTGACTGGTGCTGGTACCACAACACCTATGGCCAAGAAGCGAAGTGTTGCCGTAAGCCTTGTAACTTCGGAAATGTCTCAAAGTCTGTGGGAAACTATCCCGCCGGCACGCGTTAGCGGCAACCGTCGCCGGTGGCACTAGCCGCCTACTTTACATCCATGATGTGATAAGCCAGACTCGATACTTAGTCGACACAGGCGCCGAAGTCAGCGTCCTTCCTGCTACAGCAGCAGATCGACAGAAGGAACCTACCTTCAACTTACAGGCTGCAAATGGAAAACCAATCGCAACCTTTGGTAGGAAATACGTCTATCTGAACGTAGGTTTACGCAAACCTATTCGGTGGATTTTCCTTCTCGCTGACGTTACAATGCCCATCATTGGCACGGACCTACTTAATCATCATGATTTACTCGTAGACGTCCGCCGAAAACGACTGATTGACAATACTACTAGTCTGTCTATCAAAGGCATCACCTACATAGGCCCTAGCTTGTCACCCGTTAAGATAAAGGCAATTCTTGATCCAACTTTTCAACCTATCGTTGACAAGTATCCGGAACTTAACTGCCCGTCGAACGACCTACCGTGCATAACCAGCAATGTTATGCACCACATCATTACCACAGGACAACCTGTGACATCTAAAGCACGACGATTAGCTCCTGACAAACTGAGAATCGCCAGGAATGAATTTGACCATATGCTTAGCCTTGGCATCATTCGACCTTCGAATAGCCCATGGGCATCCCCACTTCATATGGTTCCGAAAAAGGATAGCAACGATTGGCGACCCACCGGTGATTACCGGCGAGTGAATGCCAAAACAACCCCTGATTGCTACCCGTTGCCTCATATACACGACTTGACGGCAACCTTATCCGGCGCGACTATATTCTCCAAAATCGACTTGGTTAAAGCGTATAACCAAATCCCGATGGCAACAGAAGACATCCCGAAAACGGCTATCATTACGCCTTTCGGACTTTTTGAATTTCTACGTATGCCATTCGGTCTTCGGAATGCAGCCCAAACATTCCAACGCTTCATTGACGAAGTATTTCGCGGTCTCGACTTTGTATACGCATACTTAGACGACTGCCTCATTGCCAGTCCAGACAAGGAAACTCACCTTAGGCACTTGGACTTGGCATTTGACAGGTTACGCCAACATGGTGTTACCATTAATATTCAAAAGTGTCAAATCGGTGTTGACTCACTCGACTTTCTGGGTCACACTATTGACTGCAAGGGCATTCGCCCACTGGCTACTAAGGTCGAGGCTATACTGAACTTTCCAGAGCCACAGACGGTGAAAAGTCTCCGCACTTTTAACGGCTTAGTAAGTTATTATCGACGCTTTATTCCCAACTGTGCCTCTTTGATTCAGCCATTGACAGACCTCCTTCGAGGGAATAACAAGTCCATAGAACTTGACGCGTCTGCTCGAAATGCTTTTACCCAGATTAAAAAAGCTATTGCGAATGCCACACTTCTGATGTATCAGGATCCAACGGCACCGTTAAGTATCTCGGTTGATGCATCAAACACTGCAATCGGCGCAGTTCTACAACAGCTAGTTGACAATGAGTGGCAACCACTTGCCTTTTTCTCCCGGCGCCTTCAATTAGCTGAAACGAAGTACAGCACATTCGGCAGAGAACTTCTGGCTATGTACTGTGCTATACGACATTTTAGACATTCGGTAGAGGGTCGTGAATTTATAATTTTTACGGATCACAAACCTCTGACGTACTCTCTGAACTCACCTTCAGATAAGTATTCACCCAGGGAATCACGACAACTGGATTACGTCTCACAGTTTACATCAGATATTCGCCATGTATCCGGAGTAAACAACACTGTGGCAGATGCCTTGTCGCGCGTTTGTTCTTTCACCCAAATCGACGGCATAGACCTAGTAAAACTGGCTCGTCTTCAAAAAGAAGACACCGAGCTTCAACATGAGTTGTCGAAAACAACTCTACAATTAGCTGAGAAACCCTTAGGTATGGGAAGAGATACTATTCTATGTGACATTTCCACGAGTACTCCTCGCCCCATCGTGCCTAAAAGTTATCGCCGTAACGTCTTCAATACGTTGCATGGCTTATCTCACCCAGGTATTCGCACTACTGTCAAGCTCGTAACTAGTCGGTTTTGTTGGCCTGGCATTAATAAAGAAGTAAGGGAATGGGCACAAACGTGCTTAGCTTGTCAAAAGTGCAAGGTGATAAGACACACCAAAAGCCCACTTGGCACCTTTCTTCTCCCTGACGCTCGTTTCGAACACGTCCATATAGATTTGGTTGGTCCCCTTCCTGAATCACATGGATATACTTATATTTTAACTTGCATAGATCGCTTCACACGATGGCCGGAAGCAGTACCCATCAAGGACGTATCTGCTGAAACAGTCGCACGCGTCTTCGTAGAAAGATGGATTGCTAACTTTGGATGCCCATCTTCCATAACAACTGATCGCGGGCGGCAATTCGAAAGTGGCTTATTCTTTGCCCTGACTAAAATATTAGGTTGCATGCGATTTCGAACAACAGCCTACCATCCTCAAGCTAATGGTATGGTAGAACGTCTACACAGACAGCTGAAAGCTGGTCTGTCAGCTGCAAACACCACCCATTGGACTGAATCCCTGCCGTTAGTTCTCCTAGGGATACGAAACGCCTTGAAAACCGATGCTGGTTGTACTAGCGCCGAGCTAGTATATGGCACGACACTGCGACTGCCTGGTGAATTTGTTTCTCCCTCGAGCTTCCCACCAGTGGTAGATCACGCTTCATACGTCAGCAGGCTTACAAACGCAATGCGTTCAGTTAAACCTGCTCCCCTTCGTCCACAGTCCATTGATGTTTTCGTTCATCCGTGTTTGAAAACTTCTTCACATGTATTTGTTCGTCGCGACTCTGTGCGCAGACCCCTGGAACCCCCATATGACGGACCTTATAAGGTTATTAAACGTTCTGATAAATTCTTTGTCTTGGACAAAAACGGCCGCGAGGACACCGTCAGCATTGACCGTCTGAAACCGGCTTACTTGGAGGGTAATCCTATTAGCATAGAGCTGAACGTACCCCAAAATCCACAAGTAACAGAAGATCGTGTAGACATCGATGAAGTCGCTAGCACAGCGACAGCTACCGAACCTTCTATCGAGCCCCCAAGAAAACCCGTTCTGGACGCACCGTAAGGTTCCCAGAATATCTGCACACTTATTTGACTTAACGAATTCGTGTGATTCACGCAACTCACTCGTTTGTGGTACTAACTATTTTTTTTGACGTATAAATTTTTTTTATATACAGTACCACCGAACACAAAAAATTTTTTTTCAACAGTTCATGTAACATACACAAAAAAATTAATTAGATGTATTTTTTTTCGATGTTCTGAACTTAGCATTATTTTACTGTATAGTAAATGCACATAATTTTTTTTAACCAAAAAGGTCATTTCGTACATTTTCCTCGACATGGTTCTTAGCGTTCTTGTTTTCTTTTCCAGGTGCGACGGGCACTGGACGGGAAACAAACGAAGCACGGAATCCAACGAACAACACCAGGAAGCTATGTACAAACACCCCATTAGCATAGGCAGACAAACCAGTAGGCATAAGACCAAGCCGCTCGGAAGATTTTTTTCACCCGAAAGGGAACCATCGAGTTTTTTTACTTCCGGCTGGTTCTGTCTTAGGGTCCTCACGACCCCACTAGGGGGGGAGTGAGCTGTAGCGGTAAATAATTCCCCAAAATTATTGACCACAGCAATCACTCATTGGATGCTGACCACCACTGTTTAAGTCGACTTGTTTAGCTGAAGGCTTCCGGTCAAGCATCCCCGCCATTTGGTACCCCGTCGTGTAACGTGCACGATCACTAGCTAGCTAAGCGTTCGTCTAACGGCTGGTTTTGGTTCCTAAATACATTTCTTCGTTTGGACGACCAATTATTGGCTTTTGCTTTGTCTTTGGTACGCGAGAATAAATTAATTAGAAGTTGTTGAACGAGATATCACGTCAAACCTTTAATATCCGTCAACCTTTAAAGATCTATCTGATTTTACTGACCAATTCACTGAATTCGCCGTTACACATCTTGAAAACTCTTTATCAGTTGTCACAGGAGATTTTAACTGCTGTGATTGTTCTTTCCTCGTATCATTAGGTCATGCCAATATTGTTAAATTCCCTACTTGACTTGATAAAACTCTGGATCTAGTGTTTTTTAATGATGAGGAAATATATGAAGTACGCAGACGTGCTCCTATCATGAACACGGATCATTGTATTATTCGGATATTACCTAAGATATACAGCAGATCTCACTTTAATATCTTCTCAAATTTGTCCAAGAAGACACAGGAAAGGTGTTACTCACAAGAAAATATGCTGAAACTAAGATGCATGCTAAATGACACTAACTGGGAACTTTTCAACGAACACAAACTGAATGATACTATTTCCAATTTGAGTGACTATCTTAAATTCTACCTTGATATATGCTGTCCAAAACAGATAATTTTCAAAAGAATGAATCGTTTTTCTTCCCCTCATCTCAAAAAACTTCGTAGAGAAAAAGAGAAGCTGTACAAGACAAAGAATAAATCTGATCTTAAGAAGATAAACATCCAAATTAAATCTGAAATCAAGAGACTAAACAACATTTATAATCAAACAGTACTGTCTTGTAAAACCTCAGAAAACATATGGAAGCTTTTCAGAGAAATTACAGGTTGTGGTAAGCATAATAATTTTGCTTCTTCTACTGATGTTAATGCTCTCAATAGATCTTTTATCCGCCCTCCAAATGTCCCTTCTGCCTTCAATTTAACTAATAAGACGACCAGTGACTTTCATAGTTTCAATACTTCTGATGTTCTTAAATGTTTGAAATTTCTTAAACCTTCCCGGAGTCTAGGCCCTGATGGTATACCTGCCATTGTTCTAAAGAAATGTGCTGATATTTTAAGTAACCCACTTACAAGCATTTTCAATACTTCTTTTTCTAATTATGTTGTGCCTTCTCTGTGGAAAGATATTAAAATCATCCCTAGACCCAAGTCTGGTTCTGGAGATAGTGTCAAGTTTAGACCAATTGCCATTACCTCTCCTTTTTGGAACTAATGGAGAAATTACTGTTACAAAAACTCATTCCCTCCTTAAGCTTCTCAAACGATCCAAAGCAGTTTGCTTACAAACAGGGTAGAAGTACTTTGGATGCTGCTGCTGTGTTTCATCACAACATTGTATCCTCCTTAGACAAAGGGGCCAAGTATGTCCGTTGTACTTTCCTTGATTACACATCTGCTTTTGACTCTGTACCTAGAGGCCTTTTGTTAAACAAGCTTAGCCTTACACAAACTGAGTCCTGGGCTATCAACTGGCTGCACTCTTACTTCTCCAATAGGATGCAGTACACGGTATATAATGGTGTAGCTTCCTCTCCTTTGCTTACTGAAGCTGGAGTTCCTCAGGGTGCTGTCCTCTCGCCGTTTCTCTTTTCCTTCTTCTTACATGACTTACCTCTCTCAGACGAAATCAACTTCGTCAAATATGCAGATGACCTGACTGTTTCGCTTCCCGTTAAGTCTCAGTCAGACTGCTTCAAATTAAATAGCTTCCTGTCTGAGATCAGTCAGTGGTCTAAACTAAATGACCTCATGCTGAATCCCTCAAAATGCCAGACTATGGACTTCTCCTTTAGGGATAAATGAGATCTACAAACACTAGTAAGCACTCATGAAGCCTGTAGCATTGAGGGGACTATAATTGAAACAAAGTCTAGTGCAAAATACCTCGGATTAGTTATATCTTCCGACCTTACCTGGTCATCTCATATCCAAATGATTTCCAAGAAAGTGTTTCGTCTAACTTACATTAAGAAACTCAGACTAACTGGAGTCACTCAACCTCTGCTTTCACAATTTGTCAACTCTCGTATCCTACCTATTCTACTTTACTGCTCCCCGTTAGTCTTTCCTGGGTTACTGAAAAAAGGACTATACCATCCTGAGAAGGATATTGAAGGTAGTTAGTAGGACTAGCGGTGTAAAACTCAGTCAGCTCGTCACTACATTGATGGATAAGCATCTGAATACATTCGAGAAATGGACTAAAACTATACTCTCTGACCCCCAACATCCCTTCTATTCCCAACTCTCTCCTTGCATCTCATCAGGTAGAACCAGAAATCAGTACAAAATAATATATGCTCGTACAACCAAGTATAGGAACTCAACGATACCATATTTGGCCCGTGATCTAAGTGACAGAGACAATGTAAGGCGTGAAACTTATGACTTGTTTTGTTGTTAATAACATAGTTTTGGCCCTTGTTATTTCCCCCTTATACTCTCTTATTTGTACTCTATCGTGAACAACCTTCTTATACATACTTAGCTACTTAATATTATTATCATTGGCTTACTTTTTTGTACTTTACTCTATTCCTTCTTTTGTATATTTACTGGGTCCGACTATATTATCACTATGATTATTACAAAACTGTCCTGTCATTAACCATCATGTAATATTAATTTTTGTGGTTGTTCTTTGTTTGGCACTATTTAACTGACAATCTTGTTTGTGAACGCCACTATCACCATCTTAAAAATTTTGTATTATGCATGATTCCTCACACTACCACTACAAACACCGCATTAGTGCTGACAATAAAAAAACACAACCTGAAATGTTTATTTTATGATTGTTTAGTGTTGTTCAATCAAATTAACTGATCATCTTGGCTATAAACATTCTTAAGAACATCTCATAATTTCTTGTATGATTATAGCTGTTACTGTCCACCACGCATACACATATCATAGTTTCCACTAACCAATACTGAAATATTTTTTCATTATTTGTGTTTATCTTCCTTTCTACTTGGTATTTTTTGCAATTTTTTCTTTTGTTGTTTTGTTAAATCTGTGTTTCTTTTTTGGCCACCCAGTGCTGCAGTCACCAAAAAAAGGACTAGACACGTCACACTAGTTACTAGTGTCCAATGAAAATACCCTACAGGAGATCAATCGCGAGCCTGAATAGCTCAGTTGTAACGTCTCTGACCTCAGCACTGGATGACGGGGGTTCGAATCTCAAAAGGGACAGGAGCTCCTTCAAGGTTGCAGATACGCCTTGCTGACTGTTGAGTGCCAACTAGCACAAAACCTAGGTCCAAGACTTCCTGCCGAATGCCTCCAACTATCTAATATCATCAGATCAATGTGTACCGTGATGGTGAGCTACCTAGAATGGTGGTCACATTCCAAACCTGACTAATAGAATTCAGTTTGCACCAAAGAAAGGACTAGACACGTCACACTAGTTACTAGTGTCCAATGAAAATACTATACTACTGTAATAAGTAAGATACGATATTTATGTAAAGAACAGTTATGATGCTAAAGAGAAAGGTGTTGACAAGGAAAACGAATATTCAGTGGAGAATTACTAAAATGAGTTATAAAAAACTGGGCATAACAACAAAGTAAATTTTATTCTCGACAATACTATACCATGCAAATACTGTACAATAAATTGTACTCAGACTCAATGGAAGATTCATCGAAAAGACTAAATACTGGTAATTATGTTCCAAAAAATGTTTTACATAATATGAAGGATAATCTAGGAGGGAATGAACAGATGGAGGTAAGGAAATGGAAGTTGGCATTGCGTAACAAGTATGACAAATGAGTTGACCAGTCTGAATGCATAAAATATATCTAAGGTGGTCAAAACACGACATTGTTTGTATAAAATTTGTATACGAAATGTAATATCATGAACAGTGAACAGTAATAAAATAATCATAATCACTGACAAACAATAAGACAATAAAATTAAACAAAATAATGCTAAGAATGTTACTCTAACCATGGAAAGATGAGTGAGTATGTGTAACCACGGGTCAGTTATCAGGTATGGGACAATTACTGATTAGGCTTTGCACAAGTAACAGATTTGAAGCCATTTCGTCAGATATTTCCGGGAACTCAGTGTTTCACTGCAAACCAATCAGGTAAGGGTGCAAAACTTTCAGAGTTGACAAGATGTTAGAAGATAGAACTACTGGTGTTCTTTTCTCTTCTAGACATATTTCCAAAATACGTTTTTGCTCATGATGCTAAGTACGGCCGATGAACTCCACTGGAACAAGTAAACTGATAGATACATTTTGAAATGGCCAGAAGCAGAATCCGGTATGATTAACTCTTCGGTAGATAATATGATTCAGAAGATAGCTGAAACACCCATTTTAG